TCCTCCTCCTCCTTCTAGTCCTATAGTCTTACCCCTACTCCCATTCCTACTCCTACTCCTTCTCCCCTCTTCATCCAAGGGGGGGAATAGGAAGAGGAGGAGGAGGAGGAAGAGGCAGAGGAGGAGAAGAAGTGGAGAAGGAAAAGGAGCCGAAGGAGGACGACGAAGAGGAGGAGTACTCATTCGTCGTTCTTCCCTCCGTCCCCCTCACCATCCTCATCTTTGGTATCGGCCTCGTCCGCCTCCTCCCCCTCCTCGTCTTCCCCGCCTTCCTCTTCATTCTCATCATCCTCCTGCCCCTCGTCCTCTTTTTCTTTTTCCTCCTCGTCATCCTCCCGATCCCCTCCCCCACCCTTCCTGACCATCTTCGTCGTCTTTCTCCTCGCCGTAGGATATGACAATATGGAATCGGAGCTGCATTCGAAACACGTGTATCATAAGTAGAGGACGCCGTTTTATTGGCTGTAGAAGGATCTGCAATCTTAGCTGGAGTAGCAGCTGTTGCAAGACCAACTGTCAGCCCTGCAGTCAGAGCTGTGAGGAGGGCTGTGCTACTGGCTGTCGTATGAGCTGTGGAACGACCTGTTACAATGTAGTCGGGGCAGTAGTGGTTTGAGCTTCGCTACCGCTCGTGATAGGGGAAATACTAGGAGCTGTACTAGAAGCTGTGTCAGTGAACTGTAGTGGGAGCTGCTTGAATACATGGAAGAGACATTGTGGTATGAGCTGTGGTGAGAGCTGTACTGCTGGCGGCATGGGATCTCTATCAAATGCTGTTCCTGGAGATCGCTACGACATCTAGGGCTTCTTACGGATTTCGGCATGCGCGCGCGAGGACGCGTGCGTGCACTTCGTCGGATTCCTCTTGCAGACGATTCTCGCTACGGCTCGCGCGCAAGCGCGCTCGAACGATTTCGATACGCGCGAAAGCGATGCCCGTTTTGTCGCATTTTCGGAAAATCGTGAAATGCAATGGTTTTCGTAAGAATTCGCAGAACCGTTCGCGCAAGTTTTCGTTGAACGTCTGCGTTGCGAGACAATTTCAGCGCGCGCGCGCGCATGTGCACTTCGTCTCGTTGTTTGAAAGTATATTAGCAAACTGATGATTTGTGGTAAACGAGTGCGCGTGCATTGTAGTTTTTTGCAGAGGATGGCATGGGGGTGGGGGCGATACCGGCCCCCTGGGATGGTGTCAGTTCATATTCAGGATAGACGATGGGGCAGAACCGCATGTACATTTCAACACGAAAACGGATGGTGATAATCCACGGGGGGCGGTGGGCGGGGTAGGGTCATTTTTTTGAAAGGACAGTTCACTTTACCGAAGTTGAAGTTGTCGAATCCACTGTTCGCGCAATCGTCCCACCCACCCACCCGCAACTTAGTTCGCAAAACCCATGCGGAGGCGATTGCGATGAGTGCTTGGTGTTGGCTGGTGTATCTCCGCGGCCGCGCTAGCCCGCGCATGCTCGTGCGCGCAGCGGCCAGTTAGTTTGGCGCGACTGACGCGAACGTGGTGGCGCTGACCGCTCGGCACGTCCCAGCGGGCACTCCATTGCGCGTCGGCGGCTTGGGTGGGCGCGGTATCATGGCAACGTCGACAGCGGTAGCCACGATGGCCATGGTAACGATGCTGGTAACAAAGGTGACAGCGACGACGGCACGGCCAGTGACGGCGCCGATGTTGATCACGCCGGCGACGATGACGGCGTCCTCGCGTCGGTGGTGAAGGTCTTGGAAAGAGGTCGACATGCGCGGCCGGCGCGCGAGAGCGGCCCATATTATTTGACACGGATCGTGCCCGCCCCCCCCAGCGCGCGCGCAAGGGCGTGCGAATGTTGTTGGCATGCGGCGCCAGAGGTCCGCTGGGCAGAATTCCGTGGACATGTTGAAAACCGATTGTTTTCTTAAGAATTCGCAAGGGCGTGAGCGCATGCCTTTTCCTCAAAAAGTTTTGAACATTGATGTTGCGAAACCTCGTGTTACAAATTTGTGTTTGGCACTCGGTTTTGACACCGCTACGCAACCTAAGGCTTTCGACGGATGTCGGCATGCGCGCGGCGGCGCGCGCGCGCGCACTTCGCCGAATTTTTGTTGCAAAGGATGCTCGCGACGGCACGCGAGCAAGTGCGTTCGAACGATTCCGACATTCACGCTCGAAACTCGTTTGGTCGCACTTTCTGATTATAACGTTTTGTTTCCGTCAAACAAATCGCAAGACCGTTCGCGCAATTTTGTTTTGAAAATATGCGTTGTGAAACCATGTTTTTACATGTGTTTTAGACACTCGGTTTTGGTGACCTTACGACACCGAAGGTTTTTTTTACGAATTTTGGCACGCGCGCGCGCGACAACGCGCGCGTGTGCACGTCGTCTCTTTTTTTTGTGCAGGGGACGTTTGCTAACTTATGATTTTGGATGAACGAGTGTGCACGCATAGCATTGTTTGCAGAAGATGGCGGGGGGGAATACCGGCCCCCTGGGATGGTGTGGGTTCATATCCAGGATGGACGATGGGGCAGAATCGCATGTACATTGCGATACGGAACAGGGGGATGATAATCTTGGGGGGGAAGGGGGGTCGAGTCTATTGTTTGAGGAACCAAACATTATGTGTGCAGGCGGTTGCGGGACGGGAGCACGGAGGCAAAAGGTAGACAGGAGATGCTAACAAGTGGCGGAGGACGTGGGAAGTACGATGAGGACGGCGTCGCCAGACCGACGATCTTGACACCGCGAAGGAGATGATGATGAGGAGGAGGTGGAGGTGGAGGAAGGAGACCAGTAGAATGAGGACGAGGCGTGGAGGCGCCCAAGTCTCTGATGCAGCACGCGCGGCACGAGCCCCTCCCCATTGTCACACGACGCAGTAAACAAAACATGTGCGCGGCGCCGATGCGAGAATGCCATTATGGGAAAAATGTGCGCGGCGCTGAAGCGAGAGCGCAGCACTGCAATGACAGGGGTGTGGCACGTGTATCCTCCACGACCCCCTAGCCTCGGAATCCCGACGGGAACAGCTTATATCTCCATCCAGGGGGTCAATCGGCCAGTGGGGCCAAGGCCACGCCAGTGGGGAGAGGGATCGATTGAACGATGCTCACGTAGTTGGCCCTTGGAAAGTGGAGGAGGAGGAACGTCAAAGGGGGATAAGGCTCAGTGCGGTGGGACGTTTGGGTAAATTTATATGTAGTTCCCGAACAGCCTAGAGGCCCGGGCCGGGTTCCACCGGCAGGGCCTCATCGAGAGCTCTGCGGGGGTGCCCGAATCGTCCGGAACGGCCGCCAGAGACCCGAGTTTTGAACCGAAACACTTGGGGGATAGCAGGGAGAGGCAAGCCGTCGCAGTCGACGCTGTGGAGAGCGGGGGGGGCGGGGGGAGGAGGAGGAGGAGGAGGAGGAGGAGGAGGAGGAGGAGGAGGAGGAGAAGGAGGAGGAGGAGGAGGAGGAGGAGGAGGAGGAATAATAATAATTATAATAGTAATAATCATCAGAAGAATAATAAGACGAATACTAATGATAATAATAATACTACTACGCAGAATGATAATAACAATAATAATAGTAATAATACGATTACTAATAATAAGAAGAAGAAGAAGAAGAAGAGGAGGAGGAACAATAATAAGCATAAGAGGAAGAATACGAACACTCATAATAATAATCATAATAATACTACTAGTAATAATAATACTAGTAATACTAATAACAATAATAATAAGAAGAAGAAGAAGAATAGTACGATGAAGAGGAGGAGGACGAGGACGAGGAGGGAGAAGGGAGGAGGGAGGAGGGGGGAGGGAGGAGGAGGAGGGAGGAGGGAGGGAGGGAGGAGGGAGGAGGAAGGAGGGTGGAAGGATGAGGGAGGAGGGAGACGGGAGGAGGAGGAGGAAGAGGAGGAGGAGGAGGAGGAGGAGGCGGAGGCGGAGGCGAAAGCGGAGGCGGAGGCGGAGGAGGAGTAGGAGGAGGAGGGCGAGGACGAGGACACGGATCAGGACGAGGACCAGGACGAGGAAGAGGAAGAGGAATACCAATAGTCATAATACTACTAACTACTACTACTCCTAACAATACTACTACTACTACCACCACTACTACTACTACTACTACTACTACGACGACGACGACGACGACGACGACGACGACGACGACGACTACTACAACTACTACTACTACTACTACTACTACTACTACTACTACTGTTGCTACTACTACTACGACCACCACCACTACTACTACTACTACTACTACTACTACTACTACTACTACTACTCTCAGTAGTAGTTCTACTACTACTACTTTTACTACTACTACTTTTACTACTACTACTACTACTACTACTACTACTTCTAACAATATTACCGTTGCTATTACTACTACTACTACTATTACTACTACTACTACTACTGCTGCTACTACTACTACTATACTACTACTACTACTACTACTACTACTACTACTACTACTACTACTACCATCACATATACTACTACTACTACTACTACTACTACTACTACTACTACTACTACTACTACTACTACTACTACTACTACTGCTACTACTACCACTACTACGACTACTACTACTACTCCTACCACTACTACTACTAATACTAATTCTAATAATAATGCTGGTCGTAATAATAATAATATAATAGTACGGTTACTACTACTACTATTACTACTACTACTACTACTACTACTACTACTACTACTACTACGACTAATGATAATATGATGAATAATATTACGCAGAAGCAGACGCAGAAGCAGAAACAGGAGCAGAAGCAGCAGAATAAGCCAAATCATTATCATCATCATCTTCATCATCAGCAGCAGCAGCAGCATCATCATCATCAGAGGAGGAGGAGAAGGAGGAGGAGGAGGATCATAGCAGGGCGAGCTGATGCAGCGGTCGTGGGCCTTCGGGGAGGCCACTCGTCGCCACGGAGGGGCGCGCAGATCGGAGAACGACTGCGTTTGGACCCCGGGAGGGGCCGGGAGGGGCCTCAGGGCCGATTTTGAGCTGCCATCTTCTCAACTCGCCATCCTCCGAGGTACGCGGTCATGTGCGTGACTACCATCTGGGAACAGATGCCGGCGCCGCTGTTCGCCTGGGCCATCACCTTCTGCGTGAAAGCCGTGTGGCGCCTCAGCGGCATGAAGCAGGCGGGTCTGGTCAACATCGTGTTCCAGATGCTGCTGCCAGTGGTCCTCTTCTTCTCAGGTTCCTTAATCGAGAACTTCGGTTTCAGCTCCCTGCTCCTGTCCATGATCATCTTCACGCACGTCATGCACACCGTCAAGGTCTTCTGCTGGTTCGTGGCGCGGCTCGTGCTGCCCAGGGGCTCCCCGCTCGGCTTCGACCGCATCGTGCACCTCCTGTACGACTTCAGCCTCAGCTACCAGCTCCAGGTCTACGCCGCCGTCGCCGTGCTGGCCATGCAGGCGCTCTGCGAGCTGCTGCTGTGGCTGCTGGACCTGCCGTGCCTGCGCCTGCGCACCTGGGCGCTGCTCAACCGCCGCGTCGCCGACGGCTGCGTCGCCGGGCTCTACGGCGGCGCCCCGCCCGCGGACGCGGCGGCCGCCCTGGCGGGGCCTCGGGCCTGCGCACCGTCGGCGCTGGCAGCCCGCCTCTGGCGCAGGGTGGCCGCGGCGTCTCCCGAGGCGGGCGAAGAGAACTGTGCACGAAACACACACAGACACACACGCACATACACATACACATACACATACCCATACACATACACACATACACACACACACACTGTGGGAAACATACACACACACACACACACCGTTGGGGAAAAACACACTGAGAAGAGTCTGTGGGGAAAACACACACTGAGAAGAGTCTGTGCGTTTTTTCCCCAGTGTGTGTTTTTTTCCGCACCGCTCCTGGCAGGGCCCATCCTGGACCCAGGATCGGTGCACATGCCTTCCTGGCCAGGTTTACGAGGGCGTATGCACCGATCCTGGGCTCGGGATGGGCCTGGCCAGGATCGGTGCATGTGCACAGTTCTTTTTCCGCTACCCGAGGCGGCCGCCCCCGGGGCCCCGGCGGGGGGGGGGCGCGCGAGGCCGAGCGAGGCGTGACGTCGGTGCTGACGAGCCGGGCGCGGGATCGGAGAGGGCGAGGCGGCTCGAGGCGAAGGCACCACGGGCCGACCCTGCACGCGCGCGCGTCGCCTGTAGGGCCCAGGAGCGAGAATTCAGCCGCACGGCATGCTCCGTGTCGCTTCCGCCCCCGAGCATGCGCGCAGTTCCAGGCTGTCTCTTGGGGCTCTGTGGTGGTGTGCCCTGTTTGGAGTCGCGTATGGATGCTTAGCGAAGCCACCCGTGCATTCGCAAAGGACCGCCCAACAGAGGCGCCAATGGTCCATCAGGCATCCGACATGGTGCTCACCCAGAGTTGTGAAGAGTTCGGGCGGATGGTCCTCGCATGGCTACGAGCACATGTCTTCTGGCCTGTGAGGTCCATGATGAGTTTGTTTGTACCTTCGTGTCAGACATCGCCGCCCCGGCTCGTATTCCAAGCGAATGAGACAGCAGCGCTTCCTGCACAGGCCTTGCACGCCACGTTGAACGGGCACAGAAAATGCGCAGTTGAGATTGCTTGCAACGCTCGAGGAGATCGTTTGCATGCGCTCTCAGATCGTCATCCTCCTCCTTCCCGCCCTTCCCGTCCTCGTCCGCCTAATCCCTGCCCATTCGCTCTTCCCCCTCCTCGTCCCTTTCGGGGCTATGTTACATCTGAAGTCAGAGTGCGAGCCTCGGTCATAGTGGCTTTCTTTGTGTCGAAGCAGGGAATCGCTTGACGTGCCGTATCTTGGCCGGAGGGGCCCTATCTGGAGACCCACGCAAGATCACCCGAGATAGATTGCCCCAAGCAGTCCAGCACCGCTGCAAGATGCCACTTTGTTCGGACGAGGGTATCGATTTCTTGCGACATCTCCTAGGCCGAGACCGTGGACTCTCCAGCTACCTGCACAGATCCGCCAACATTGAATAATGCGTCGCAGTCTTATCCCAGCGCTGGACTGCGCATCCCTGGGAAAGGGTGGCTTGGGGCCCCCCCCCAAAGGCTGCGGCGACCACACCGTGTGGTGAGTCAATGGAGATTTTGGGGTGACCGCACGGTCTGGGGACTTGGGGCGTCCTCCGAGGCTGTCTCAGACGACTGGGGCTTGCAGGATCCCCAAACAGTGCGGTGGCGGACCGTGCGGCAAGTCGGCGGCCAAATCCGAACCCTACCCTCGCGGGTCAACGATTTCGGCAACTCGATTGGCGGCGTGGGTAGGGTTCGGAATTCGTCGGGCACGCGGCGAAATTCAAACCCTCAGCCCGCCTCCCATCGATTCAGGAGAGTCGATGGTTGGTGAGGGCAGGGTTCGGATGTCGCCACCCAGTGAGGCCCTTTCGGGGGATTCCGAAGTCACCGCACGCTCTGCCACCGCGCTGTCTCGGGACCCCCAGGTGGGTGGCCCCAGCCCTCCAAGCAGGGGGGAGCTCGAGCGAGCGGATGCACGGGCCAGCTGGGGGCTGGATCTCCGGGCCAGCTCCGCGCAAGCCCGCAGACCTCTCGCCCGGGAGCCCACGCTGTCCACATGGGGCTGGCTGGAGCAGACGGGGTCGGATGATTGCGCTGCATTGCCGCTGCGTTGGCGATGTGGCGCGATCAGGAGCCGTCGCCTTGTTTTTCTTTGTTGTTCTTGAGTCCTCAATTCGAATACTTATTGTTGATCCCCCCCTCCTGTGCACCTAGCGTTTTTTGGATCAATGTGCTGCTCCGGGGGCTCGCACCCTGCTTAATGCAAAGGGACAAATTGAGCCTCAGAATGCGTTGATGCCCCCTGGACTACCACAACAACGGCTTCCGCCGGATGCTTCCTCACAATTTTTAAAATCGCGCTCTAGCGCGGTACGTCCTCACAATGTATCAAGGAATCGAGCTCTCGTGTGGTGCTTCCTCGCAGTTGTGACGCCGCTCTCCCAACCAACACTCAGGAGTCGCATTCTCGTTTTGGATTTCCTGACGATTTACTTCGGAATCGCGCTGTCGCTCCAGACTGCTTCGCGATTCATGCAGGACTGACGCTTCAGTGACCCGCCCGCTCGACCTGGCCGCTGCTGGGGTCCGCCCGCCCACCCGCCAGTTAGGGTCCACCCGCCCGACCCGCCCGTCGGATTCTGCCAGTTGTTTTCTGCTCTTAACCCCCTCTCCTGCTAATTTCTCTCGTGCTCCAATCCTTCTCCTTCCCTCTTGTCCCTTCCTTCCCATCCTTCCTCTCTTCCCCTGTTTTAGGGGCTGCGCCAACAACACGTGGCAGGTAAAGAAGACAACCCCCGTGGGGGCATGATCGAAGGCGAAGAGAGCGGGTATCGAGGGTATGGGAGATACCTGTGGAATGATACTCGAGCCGGAATTCGGCTACAACAAAGTTTCCTTGGACACTCGCAACAAGAAGTAGATGAATGTACGCCCATCGGCGAGATGAGTTGTCGCGCGCGCGTGCTGAGCGCTCGCGCGCGCGCGATCCCAAGACGCCCCCATGGCCGCAAAATGGTTCCAGGAGAGCCTGAGGCCACAGACGACCCTGGGATGACGCCACCACAACACGATCACGCCATTGATTTTGGACCGTCTCAGGCGGACTCGAAGATGACTAAACAGATGAGCCACGAGCGACGCCGTGATGGCCCGATGGCAACAAAATGGATCCACGAGCGCCCAGGGTGGCCCCAGAATGAGCACGCAGCGGCTGCGCGATCCAAGCATGACCGAGATATGATCTCAAGATGACCTCAAGACGACCCTGACATGGCAGGAATGCTGCAACGTCGGAGCCCCATCATATTTCGAGCCGATCCCAGCACGGCGGGATCCGTGAACGCCCCCGGATATTTGTTGACCTATTTCGAATGGGTGGGGCTTACGTTTGGCTGAACGAGTAAATTTGTAATACGAAAGGGGCGTAAGTTAGGCGGGATCCCGCCCGGCCAACGGCAGAGGGGGTTCGGACAGGGCGTCATGTACTTCCGCTGTCTTCCGCAAGCCTTCCAACGACCTTCCGCCGTGTCCCTCATCGTTTTACTTCCGTCGGCTTCCGCCAGCGAGCGATGAGACGAACATTCAAGGAACTTTCACTGGGCCGACGTAAGAGCGAACAGTGTGAAAACGATTGAATTGTCATTCCAAGCGAATAATTATCCGTAAGGGCTTCTCCCCATGCCGCCGGCCCCCTGTCTCGGATGACGGGAGATGCAAAAGCTAAATCATGAGGTCTGGGCGCCGCCGTGAAGCAGTGTCGGGACCTGTTTGTTTTTCGACCCTGACCCTACGGATGCGCGTCACGGGTGCCACCGAATTTCAGAAATGTGGCAAATCCCTTGTGTTTTTGGACCTGGACCCTACGGATCTCCGTGAGGGGTGCCGCTGGATTTCAGAATGTGGCTAATCCCATTTGTTTTTGGATCCTGACCCTGCCGATCTGCGTGAGGGGTCCTGCCGAATTTCAGAAATGTAGCAAATCCTATATCTTTTTGGACCCTGACCCCGCCGATCTGCGTGATGGGTGCTAGCGAATTTCAGAAATGTGGCAAATCCTATGTGTTTTTGGACCCTGACCCCGCGATCTGCGTGAGGGGTGTTAGCGAATTTCAGAAATATGGCAAATCGCTTGTGTTGTTGCATCCTGACCCCGCCGATCTGCGTGAGGGATGTCACCGAATGTCAGAAATGTGGCAAATCCTATGTGCTTTTGGACCCTGACCCCGCCGATCTGCGTGAGGGGTGCTAGCGAATTTCAGAAATGGCAAATCCTGTGTTTTTGGACCCTGACACCGCCGATCTGCATGAGGGGTGCCACCGAATTTCAGAAATGTGGCAAATCCCATGTGTTTTTGGACCCTGACCCCCGCCGATCTGCGTGAGGGGTGTCAATTATTACCCATCCCAGCAGTTCAGAGCACACGCTCAGGGCGTGGTAAAAATGACAGTTTTGGGCCTCCCCCCCTCGCGTGGTCCATCAACACAGAACAGTAAGCAGCAAGAAGTCAACAAAGAACAGTAAGCAGCAAGAAGCAGAACTGTAACAATGGTAATTGGAAGCTGCAACTGGTAAAGGAAACTGCGAACCGTCGCCCTACAGCCTGGTGGCCCCACAAGGGGGCTGGTGGATTGTTGATCCCCCCGCCCGGTGACCATCGCGTTTGTCCCATGGAAGTGCCCACCCCAGGGCGCGCGCAGGGTTTTTACAAGGGTAAGACTCGGGGCTCGGAATGGGTTGTTCGGCCCCAAGCTACAACAACAACGGCTCCCGCCTGATAGTTCCTCACTTTGTATTTGAAAATCGCCCTCTCGCGCCTGACTTCCTCATAATTCGTTGATGCAAGAATCGCGCTCTCGCGTAGTGCTTACAATTAACTTATTGAAACGCCGAGCCCTCGACACTCAGGAGTCAGGCTCTCCCTTCGGTTTTGTTCAGAATGTGTCCAGCATGTTTTACTTGATGCTCGCGCTATCGCTCGAGACTTCCCGTGATTCATGCAGGGCGCACGCTTCAGCAGCCCGCCTGCTCGACCTGGCCGTCCGGGCCCGCATTCCCGACCCGCCCGGTACGGTCTACCCGCCCGATCTGCTTATCTGTTTCTGTCACGCGCTTTCTGGTCCTAACCCGCCTCCTTCTAATCTCTTTCGTGCTCCATCCTTCTCCCTCCCCCTTTACTCCTTCCTTCCATCCGTCCTCTCTTCCCCTGTTGTAGGGGTTGCGCGACATACACGTGGCAGGTAAAGGAGGCATACACCCAGGGGGGTACGACAGAAGACGAAAAGGGCGGGGATCGAGGGTTTAGGATATATGTATTGGACGGCGCGCGAGCAGATAAGAGCGAACAGTTCTTAGACGATTGATTTCCCATTTATGAAAGATAAGTGTTGTTGATCCCTCCTTCCGAGAAACTATGTATTTCTCCATTGAAGTGCCCCTCTCGGGGCTCGCTTTTCGTTTTTCATATGGGAAAAATGTGGTTTCACCAGCTGCGCCCGTGGTCCCCGGTTTACATCGGCTCCCGTTTGATACGTTTTCACAATTGAT